CAAAGAATTTTCTAAAGTTAGCAGGCATGGTGGCACATGCTCGTAGTCCCAGTTACTCAAGACGCTGAGGTGGAGGGATCACTTAAGCCCAGAAGATTGAGACTGCAGGAAGCTATGATTGCCACTGCACTCCAGCCTGGACGACAGAGCGAAACTCTGTCTTTGTTTTTTTTTTTTTTGAAGCAGAGTCCTGCTCTGTCGCCCAGGCTGGAGTGCAGTGGCACTATCTCGGCTCACTACAAGCTCCGCCTCCCGGGTTCATGCCATTCTCCTGCCTCAGCCTCCCGAGTAGCTGGGACTACAGGTGCCCGCCACCACGTCCGATTAATTTTTTGTATTTTTAGTAGAGATGGGGTTTCACCGTGTTAGCCAGGATGGTCTCGATCTCCTGACCTCGTGATCCGCCTGCCTCGGCCTCCCAAAGCATGAGCCACCGCGCCCAGCCGAAACTCTGTCTTTAAATAAAATAAAATTAATAGAACAAAATTATATAAAATAAATAAAATGAAAAGCTTTGCTCTCACTGCAGCAGGGGGTTCTCGGGACACAGGCTAGAAGCAGACACTCTTCCTGCTGCTTCTCTTTCTTCCAGGAGAGCGTGCGCAATGCTAGTGTCTGCAGTCTGATTCTTGGCTGCTGGGAGCTACTTGACTTGTGACTGGATCTCACACGTCCAAAATAACTAACTTTCAGAGACGGATTAAATCCCAATCAAGCCTTTGCTCAGCCTGCTCAAGGACTCTCATTCACCCCGAAATATTCTTTCTATGTCAAAGCAAAGAAGACCCTCTGTCAGCTTTAGGAATCATTTTCTGATGAGTGCTCCTTCTGTGGGTATCCCTTTCAACTTCAAACTCTCATCTGTCAGTGACGTTTTCCACCTCAGTTTGGCTTCGCTGGCTCGGGAGATGCTACAGTATTAATCGATTTCAAGGTTTTTGAACAAATAGCCATAAATACTTAAGCCTCCGCTTTGCCTATTAAGGAAAATGCCATGTGAGATAATGATTTTGTCTCTGCCTGACAGGAGTATTTGCACAGAGGACAGGATTATTTTAACTTTTCCACACATTCTGAAACCTTGAACCTATTTGATCTTTATACTGTAAGTATCCGTGTGGCCAAATACGACAAATTACTGAACACTTAGGAGGAAAAAATGCTAGCAAAAGCTGGAACAGGCTAGGCACAGGTGGTGGCATACACCTGTAGTACCAGCAACCCAGGGACTGAGGCAGGAGGATGCCCTGAGCCCAGGAGAGTGAGGCTGCAGTGAGCTGTGGCACTCCAGCCTGGGCAACAGAGTAAGGCTCTGTCTAAAAAAAAAAAGCCAGGCGAGGTAGCTCACACCCATAATCCCAGCACTTTGGGAAGCCGAGGCAGGCAGATCACCTGAGGTCAGGAGTTCAAGACCAGCCTGGCCAACATGGTGAAACGCTGTTTCTACTACCAATACAAAAATTAGCCAGGCTTGGTGCCTGTAATCCCAGCTACTCAGGAAGCTGAGGCAGGAGAATCGCTTGACCTGGGAGGTGGAGGTTGCCATGAGCTGAGATCACGCCACTGCACTCCAGCCTGGGCAATAGAGCCCATCACGCCCATCACACACACACACACACACACGCCAACAAAAAAGGTGAAACAACCTAAAGTGATTATTGATTGATTTTCCAAAGCAGTGGTGCCTGATGTTTTCAATGAAAGCCGACTGGAATCCACATATAGATTTTTGTTCCTGCTGGTCAGTATGATGTCACTTCTTATAAACTGAAAGCACTTGGAGGGCAAGGGCCATCTGATGTATTTTTGTATCCCTTGTGGCACCATGCTTAAAGACAGAAAGCATGCAGAGTGCTGTCTGGACACGTGAGTCACTCAAAGTTTCGAACAGTTTAGTGTAGTGAGCAGTGCAAAGGTGTGGAGGTGACCTGGGCTTGCGATTGAAGCCTAATTCTGGCATTTCTCAGTAACATGGCCTTAGACACGTTACTAACCACCTCTGTCACCTCATTTGAAACACAGGTCTGATGCTACCTCCCTGTGGGGCTTGTCATGAGGATTAAATGAGAGAAAGTTCATTTTATTTATTTGAAACGGAGTCTCACTCTGTTGCCCAGGCTGGAGTGCAGTGGCACAATCTCAGTTCACTGAAACCTCTGCCTCCCAGGTTCAAGCGATTCTCTTGCCTCAGCCTCTTGGGCAGCTGGGATTACAGGTACCTGCCATCATGCCCAGCTAATTTTTGTACTTTTTAGTAGAAACAGGGTTTCACTATGTTGGCCAGGCTGGTCTCGAACTTCCACCTCAATTGATGTATCTGCCTCGGCCTCCCAAAGCACTGGGATTATAGGAGTGAGCCACTGCGCCCAGCCAAGAGAAGGTTTATCATGTGCCTGGCACACGGTAGACAATAGAAGGTGGTCACTTCCTCTGTTATTGCTTGTAGAGTAGATGTAAGGAGGGGAATGAAGGCTTCAGATGTGAAAGTATCTAGAGTGAGAGCAGAGTATTCTCTGTGTACGAAGATGCCTGAAGTTACCAAGACATGCCAGAAGTGTGTTTAGGTGTCCCTATTGAGGACAGTGAGGAGGTTCTCCAACACATAACGAGTGTGATAGACTAAGTCCCCTCTCCCCTACAGATGTCCACATCCTCATCCCTGGAACCTGTGAATATATTACCTTTATGCAGTAAAAAGGATTTTGCAGAGGTAAGTGAAGGATCTTGAGCTAGGGAGAGGATCCTGGATTATCCAGGTGGGCCCCATATAATCCCAAAGATCCTTGTAGGAGAAGAGGGAGGCTGGAGGGTTGTAGTCAGAAAAGACAGAGATTGGAAGATGCTACATTGCATGGAGGAGGAAAGAAGGCACCACGAGCCAAGGAATGCAGGCGGCCTCTCGAAATTGGAAAAGGCATGGATGGCAACAGGTTCTCCCCTAAAGCTTCCAGAGGAAACCAACCCTGCCCACGGTTTGACTTCAGCCCAGTGAGGCCGATTTTGGACTCTGATCTCCAGAACTACAACATAAATCTGAGTTATTTTAAACCGCTGAGTTTGTGGTTATCTGTTACAGTGGCAACAGGAACTCATACCGTGAATGATACTGAAACGCGACAATGAAAAAAGACAAGACACTCAAACGGACAAACCTTAATGATACGGAAAATTTCATCTCTGCCGGACACTGTTGCTCCTGGTGTTATGAGATAGCTGAGGTGTTACTGAACACAAGGAGTTATTTGTCGGAACAGGAGAGACCTGGTCTTAATAGAGATGAGGTTCAATGTCACCTTTATTCCTAAAAATGCTGCTATTCCCCGTCACTAAGCTTTTACAGCATCTGCTGAATTGTTAAATGAAGCCTGAATGTCTCATAATCACAGCCTGCTTAATACCTGTCATCTAGTAACAGGCTTTGGAATAAATACTACATCAAGAGGTTGTATTTCTAACAGTACCCTGTCTATTCATATCTGAAAAATAAGACTCTTTAATTTCACCTCGTGTCTGGAAGTGCTAACAAGGGAGTTCTTTTAGGGGAAAATCCCAGTAAGTTATCCAGTAAGATCACATATCACCCCTAGCCATGCGATTCAGAATTTAAATTTCTAAATGAAGTCTACGTGTCCATAGTCTTGAAATATCATAGAAGTAAAAGGTCTTCACAAAGGAATAAAAAGCAGCTTCCCTTTTGGAACAATGACTATGAGGCGTCTACCAGATGCAAAATGTTGTATTAGGCACTTTGATCCACACAGCAATTCTACAAGGAGGATATTATCCCCAACGTGCTGCTGAAGAAACAGGGTTCAGAGACGTTAAGTAACTCACCCGAGTCCCCACAGCCTGTAAATGACTGATTCCAGATTGAAGCTCACACTGGTCTGACTTCTGAGCTTGTGGGTGCCTTTTTCACTGTCCCTACCGTCTCTGAGATAAATGCATGGGGTAATCTGTTGAATGCATGTGAGACCGGCTGCCAGCAGCCCATCTGAGAGCTGTATGAAGAGCTGAAGCCAGCTCAGCTTTGGATGCGTTGGTCTCCACCATGCTGGGGTTCAGATGGGAAGAAACTGTGGCATCCACAGGACCGTGTGTGGATGGAAAGTTGGCTCTACAGTGACAACCAATTCTATCATTGGCATGTGGGATGTTTCATAAAACAGGAAAAAAAAAATCCTCAGTAAGTGTTGTAACAAAAGCAGAGCAGCCGGGCCGCTGCTGTCAAGATGCAAGTCCCGGAACCATTTTGCTTAGAACCACACTGATACATTCTTCCTAGACCAGACAACATGCAGTTTAGAACAGTCATCACTCCGATGCTGCTAAAACGCCATCACTGCAACCACCTTCTCACCCCGCTTTTCACGCAGAGTATTTTCACAATCAATTCCCTCCACTCAACGGCGTTTTCTTTTGCGGGGGAAGGGCTAGGGGGACAGAGTGTCGCTATGCAATGCAGTGCAATGGCGTGATCTCAGCTCACTGCAACCTCCGCCTCCTGGGTTCAAGCAATTCTCCTGCCTCAGCCTCCTAAGTAGCTAGGATTACAGGCATGCACCACCATGCCCAGCTAATTTTTTGTATTTTTAGTAGAGACAGGGTTTCACCATGTTGGCCAGGCTGGTCTTGCACTACTGACCTCATGAGCCACCCACCTCGGCCTCCCAAAGTGCTGGGATTATAGGCGTGAGCCACTACGCCCGGCCAACAGTGTTTCTTAAATGATTTTGACCATGACCATGTAAGAAATACATTTTCCTAAGCAACTGGTTCACATGGAGCAAACAATAGTTCCAGGAAGCAAGACACAACCTTACTATGTGCAATGGGCTCTCCTCTTTCCTCTATTTTAGTCTGTTTTGTCCAGTTTAGTCCATTTAGTGGTCATGACCATGCAATGACTTCATGATTTGCCAGTGACCCCATATTCCATGAGAGGGCTGTGTTTACAGCTTGGGTGTCCCGGTCTAGAAAACGAGCACTAGAGTTCCTACCTCTGGGGCAATGTAATCTGGAGTCCCACAGAAGGTCCTGGTTGTGACTCCATCCATCATGTGTTCCTTGCACATCCCAAAGTCAGCAATTTTGATATGTCCTTCTGAATCCAACATGACGTTATCTAACTTCAGATCCCTGCAAGGAACCAGGTTAAATCAGAGTCCTTCCCATGACATAACATGGTTTGCTTTGGAACTGGTGAAATAGAAGGATATCTGAATACCTGTCAGCTCAATGGCAATATTAACTATAAGTCCCCGGAGAGCAGTATCAGGAGTTACTGTGTGTTGATATCTTCAGAGACTAATATTGTGCCTGGGCTATGGCAGGTGCTTAAATGCATACTGAATGGATGACTAAACGACTGGACTAGTGATTCTCAATCTTGCCTGTGTCTGTGACTCTAGAGAGTCCAATTGAGCACATCTGGGGAAATCTCAATCATTTGATTTATTCATGTTCCACACAGGGGGTCTGACACACGACCAGGTTTGCAAAATCATGGGTTTAGAACCACCTCACTGGGTCATACACATGTCCCTTCCATTCTGCCTGTGCCATATATCCTTCTAATTATGCTTCAATTAATACTGGAAGAAATTCTTCCTTCTTTGGCACCAGACTTTCAGCACAGCTACTAACAGGAAGAATTTAATTCAATAGATTTCTTTCCTTGCCTCTCCCCAGTTCCCTGTGTTCTCCTTCTGCTGAACATCTGTAACAGGAATTCAGTTTCCATTGCTCCCTGACCTCCATTCCAAGGACAAGGCAGTGGAAGGAGCTGTCAATGGACAGAAAAATGTGTTTTCTTGTGGAAAAAGTAGAAACAAGATATAAAATCTTTGAGGTCTAGAAATCAGAAGGTGGCTCTGATTTGCCTCCAGGGTGAGGAGGAAGGTGGGTCCCAGCAGGTCTCTGTTCCTCCTGGGGGATTATCAACTCTGTGTCCTAAGTCGCCATTCCAGAATGGCATGCCCACAGAAGCCCTGCTAACCTCTCTGCTGAGCTGCTGGTGGGAGGGCTTCAATACACACCTATAAATGATTCCTCTTTTATGAAGAAAGAACAATCCGATGGAAATCTCTGCCGCATAGAATCTGCAAAAGAAAACAGGCTTCAGGTTTCTCGCTTGCTTCTTTAGATGCCTATATACTTTTCATTCTCAAGTTCAAGCATCAAAGAGAGAAAAGAATGTTGGACCCAGAGGCTTTCAGAGACCAGCATCGCCTGCACGTGTTCTTCCAACCCCCAGTCTTCCTTCCATCACTTCATCCTCCAGTTCATCCGTGAATGAGACAGCTAATAAAACCAATGAGGCCGGCTTCTTATTTTCGTATGGGGAAAGTGGACAAGTAGCTTATTGCCTGCAGAGTAATTTCTAATACAATCATTTAAAGAATGGATACCAGTTAGACTATTCTATGTCAGGAGTATGGCAGAGTAGAGAAAATTTCCATTTTCCTATTCACTGACAGAATACACTGGTGTTTGAAAGTATAATACAATTACTCCCTGGAAGGCAAAGTATAGTGGGTGATGAACTCTTTAGCTAGTGTTTTCATTCCTTCCAAGTGTTGGAATCAATGAGACACACATCATGATTCATATCTGAGTTTACTCTTTTAAATAATTCATAATAAAAAGCAGTAACTACCATCACTTCAAAATTGTTAACAGGTTAATAGCTGAAACTCAGATTACAAGGGGGCGAATATTTAAAAATCTCCATAGCATTCAGGAGTCTCTGAAGTCCAAGAAGCCACAAGACTGTGCCTGTGCAAACATCACATGCAGAAGGCTCAAAGTAAGCACATGTGTCTACACCAGCAGAGCAAAAAAAGTCTCTAATGACAAGACCAAACCCTTAACGAGGGGCCACCTCTGAAGGCTAGAAGAGTACAGGAAGGGGGAGGGTGAAGAGATGGGATTACTACAGGTGATCTTTACATTATTTTTCATGCTTTTCTAAACTTTTCTGCAACACAAATAATATAATGAAAGGATATTGGACCAGACACCTTTACGTTACTTCATAACATAGGGTGACTCTGTGCTATCTGCTCTTTGTAGTCCTGTGTGACCAGGCTTTATTTTACAATCTGAGTATTTTAAGGCTTTATAACTACAACATAAGACAGAAGAAAAGGACAGGCATTTCTGAAAACTGAAAAGGAACAATAAGGGCAGAAAAATCTCCCTTCACACTTTTAAAGCTTGCAACCAAAGATTTCCCTATTCTGCCTTCAGTTAATCTTCCCTAGGGTGGATAATCCCTCGCAGGCCAAAAATTCTTCCAATGTATCTCTTAGATGGCACAGCAGCCAGAATCCTATTAACAGTTGCTGACTTCATTCATCAGGGTACATGCCCACGAGGCCTCCTCACTGGGGAACGAAACTCGCCCTTTGTTTAGGCTTACTCCGCTGGTGTTTCCTGAGACTTCCTGGCCCCTAAGAGGTGAGATGATGTTTCCAGCACCAAAGTCCCAGCTCCCCACACCCCTCAGATGAATCTCTCATCTTCACCTGGAGCCCACATCTTCCTCCCGTGTTGCCAACTCCCGCATCCCGTCATGCAAGGTGCATTCCAATAAAACGTTCTTAACTGAGCTCATGAATCTACCCCCAAACCACCTCCTCCTTGGTGGCTGCACCCACCCAAGCCTAAAATGGGGTCGCACTGGAAGAGGTTTCTCTCTTCTCTCCTCCATAGTAAGTTCTGCTTTTCTTCCTCCAGGATGTTTTTCAAAGACACTTATTCCTCTTTGGCTCCAAGGTCAAGCCCTAACTACAGCTCCATTCCTTCTCATCTATAAAGGGTCTCACCAGCGCCTGCACCAGCCTCTACATTCCCATTCATGCTTCCTTCTTCCCCCAGACAGAGAGCTCTGCAAAAACTGAATCTGACGGTGCAAGCCCCACTGCAGTGCCTTCCCTCTTCCGTCCTCCGCAGCCAGGCTCCTTACCAGGCTCTTCACCCAGAGCCCCACCTACCAGGCTCCCCCCAACTCCCCCACCCTCAAATAATCTCAGAGCATCTCCCATACCTGAAGAGCTGCAAGGCTGCTTCCCTGCACTTGCTTCTGCCTCTGCTCACACCTCTTCCTGGAAGGCTCTTCCCCCACCTCTGAGCTAGACATTTCCTGGGGACGCACTTCCCTCTCCCCCTAATTTTTAGGGGCTTGTGTGGTATCCTGTGCCAGTCTCTAAAGTTACAGCAATGCACTATTAATTGTTAGGCGACTTTTCCAACTCCCTCCGGAAAGGGAGCACCTCGTTCCTTTCATACCCCCAGTGCCTGGTGCAGAGCAGGTGTATGACAACCATTTGTTCAACAGATAAGAATGACTCCGTCAATGAGGGTGGACCTGGGTGATGAGGGGACATGGCACCATCTCCAGTTTATTGGAAATATTGGAAATAGAATAAACTGCTCCTTAGGAATCATCTTAGATGGATCCTACCAGTGTGTCTGCCCCCGCCTCCCATGTTTAGGTTTATTCAACCTAAAACTGGGCAGAATCCCACTTCCCCATTTCATCCAGCAGAAGTTCCCAGTTGAGGCTGGGCATGGTGGCTCACTCATGCCTGCAATCCCAGCACTCTGGGAGGCCGAGGTGGGTAGATAGCTTGAGCTCAGGAGTTCGGGACCAGCCTGGGCAAGATGGTGAAACCCCATCTCTACCAAAAACACAGAAATTTAGCCAGGCGTGGTGGTGCGCACCTGTAGTCCCAGTACTCAGGAGGCTGAGGTGGGAGAATCACCTGAGCCTGGGAGGCGAAGGATACAGTGGGCCGAGGTCGCGCCACTGCACTCCAGCCTGGGTGACAGAGTGAGACCTCCATCTCAAGGAAAAAAAAAAAAAAAAAAAGGAAGTTTCCAGTTGGTAGAACTTGGTTGCTCAAATTAAGGAACTTTAAAAATAATACTCACACTGCTTGTGGTTCCTTAAATTTTCCTACTTGCTGAATGTGGTACATGAGGTCCCCACCGTTGACATATTCCATGACGAAGTATAGCCGATCCTGCAGACCAAGGTTCAACACGTGAGCAGGGCTCCTCCCCAGCCAAGCGGCTTCCTTTACTCTTCACAGGTTGTGTTTTGCTTTCTCATTAGTTAAATGGGGACTGCACGGGCAGATCTGCTCAGTTTAGAGCTCTTTAACGTTTTTTCCAAAGAAAGAGTAAGTAATAAACCCTACTGCATGAGGGCCTTGGGAAGTATAAAGTCATTACATAACCCTGAAATAATGGCTCTCCATCAACGTGTCTGTGCCTTCCTATTACATATGCTCTCTATTATAGTAATGGCCTCAAACATTCTTCCCTATTTTCCTATCCATATAATAAATTTCTAAGTAAGGGATGGTGTGAGGAATCCACATAAGGCAATTATTTCATTTTAACTAGTGCTTCTCCATGGTCCAAATGTTTAAAGCCTGCTTTGCGGTGTCTGGGAGGCGTGCCATACTAATGTAGTATTGTGTTTAAATGAATATTCCTGAAAACACATCTCTTAGGCTTAGGATTACACATGCTCAATGATACTGGACATGGGACAGGGGACTCTAAATGGAGAGGCTAATCAAATGTTCTTTTGCATCTGAAATATGCCCCAACACTGTTTTTCTATTTTCTCTGTCACTGGTAGGTTAAGTGTTGGCCCCATGATTGGCATGTATCATAGACTCAAATAAATCTGCATATTCATGAGGACATCATGCTGCGACAGACAGGGAGACAGAGGGGTTTAACAGTGAAATAATGACCTCTGCTCTCTGCTAGAAAACACCCCCATTTCACAGAGGCTATTAAACATTAAAGTGCTGCACAGGGAGAAAAAAATGATGAAGCTGTGCTAATAGCGAGGAAGCAGCCCTGGGAGCCCCAATCTCTAGTTTTCCTGTTATGAACTTTAATTTCATCTTCATGTCTTTGTTTTGTAGCTTTCCAGAGCTTAATCAGGGTAACCAGGGTTACAGGCTCTGGGCTGGGATTCAGAGCTGCGGTTGTCTCTTCCGAGCATGCTGCTTTCTCGTCTCTCCCTGGTGTGACTTGATTCAGAGTCAGTGGGAACGACTGGGAGCAGGAAGCTCATCGAGCCGCCAGCGCTAGGCTGACACGTAGTGGCCGGTGCCGGACTCCACAGCCGCTGCTGCACACCCAGAGACTCCGTGTGGCTGCAAAGCCATTTTGAGATTCTAAAACCCAAAAGCACCAAGAGGCTTCTCTCAAGAGTTTTCAAAGAGGCGTAAGACAGAAAGTCGATCTCTGATCAATGGGCAGTTGAAAATAGTAATAATCGCATCAATTATAGCTACTGATTATGGAGTCATATTTAAAATGGACAGCCTCTGAGGAGTGAAAAGACCGGCTTTGGCAGCATCTCACTATGGTGCCATCTAAACATCTCTGTTTCTTGCAGGCCACTTGCAAACCCTGCAACGGACTGACGAGTGCTCTGGAATGTTCTTTTTTGTCCTCTATTTAGTTTCACTTTATGACAGAGCTCAGCAAACTTTTTCCATAAAGGGCCAGACAGTACGTAGGTTAATACTTTAGGCTGTGAGGGTCTCTTGCCGCGACTCAACGCTGCCTTCATGGTTCAAAAGCAGCTGTAGATGACAGATACAGCAAGGAGTGTGGCGATGTCCCAAAACCGCTGTTTACGGATGCTGACATTTGAATGTCACGATATATGACTCTTTGGATTTCCTTGTCATGACCTTTCCTAAACTCAGGGGCCATAGAGAACAGGCCACAGTTTGCCAATCCCTGTTGTGTGCCACTGAACAAGAACATGCTTTCTTACAAAATCAAATCTCCTTATGCTCCAATGCCACGTTTGGCAGCTGAACCAGTGGTTTTAAAAAGCCAAGACTGTGGCCAGGTGAGGTGGCTTATGCCTGTAATTCCAACACTTTGGGAGGCTGAGGCGGGTGGATCACCTGAGGTCAGAAGTTCAAGACTGGCCTGGCCAACATGGTGAAACCCTGTCTCTACTAAAAATACAAAAATGAGCCGGGCGTGGTAGCAGGTGCCTGTAATCCCAGCTACTGGAGAGGCTGAGGCAGGAGAATCCCTTGAGCCTGGGAGGTAGAGGATACAGTGAGCAGAGATCGCACCACTGCACTCCAGCCTGGGCAACAGAGACTCCATTACAAAAAAAAAAGCTAAGACCGTGAGTTATTTTTTTGTTTTTGTATCCCCAAGTCTTAGCACAGTACCAGGCAGGAAGAAAACCTTTCATGGAAATGTTTGCTGAATTAAGGCGAGGCGCAGTGACTCACACCTGTAATCCCAGCACTTCAGGAGGCCAACGTAGGGGGATTGCTTGAGCTCAGGAGTTCAAGACCAGCCTGGGCAACATGGCAAAACCCTGTCTCTACTAAAACTACAAAAATGAGCTGAGCGTGGTGGTGTACATCTGCGGTCCCAGTAACTTGGCAGGCTGAGGCAGGAGGATCGCCTAAGCCTGGGAAATTGAGACTGCAGTGGGCCGTGACTGGGCCACTGCACTCTAGCCTGAGCAAGAGAGCAAGATCCTGTCTCAAAACAAAAGAAAAGAGAGAAAGAAATGTTTGCTGAATTAAATGACATGAATGCCAAGCAGAGGCCATCACGGAAAAGGCATGCCCCATATCTACCAGAGAGAGAGGTGGGAGGTGGTCCCCAGTCACCTCTGCTTGACATCGCATCACACCTTTCTCCAGCCTTCTCCAAAGGAACAAGGATGCTAAGAAGCTCTGGGCTGAGGCACAGCCCTGAGAGCCGGGTGCTGCATCACAGAAGTACACCCCAGGGTCCTTACCACTGTCTGGAAGCAGGAGTGCAGCTGTGTCAAGAACGGGGGTTTGTCAAGCAGGGCCAAGACTCGCTTTTCTACCATGGTGCACTCCACGTCGTCATCCTGAATCACCACATCCTTCTTCAGGATTTTGATTGCATACAGTTCTTCTGTGCCCTTCCTGTCGGCAAGCATCACCTGAGAACACGTCAAGAACAACCTGAACACGTGTAAGCACACATCTTGGGGGTGGAGGGAAGGAACCAGGCCAGGTGATGGCTCAGTGACAGTTTGTCCACCTCTGTCAATGAGGGATATAATAATATTAAACTTTATGTGCAAATTTGGAAATTCTACACATCACTACAAATTCAGTCCCTTCATCATTTGCGTAACTTCAACGCTGCCAAGATTTGTAAATGGTATAGGACACGGCCGCATGATGGCACTGTGTTGGCTGCGAAAATGAATACTCAACATTCTGTATCAGGATTAGTCTGGAATTATGCCCATTTTTCAGGAGTATCCTTAGAGTGAAAACTGACTGACATTTATAATCCCACAAGTCAAGAACCTAGGCTTGAAATCAGTTCCTGGGTCTATCAAGAAACGTGGGGTCACAGAAACCAACTGGAGACGCAGGCAAATTGCTGAAGACCCCATGCCAGTATCTCTTATGATTGTATTTGTTTACTACAAGTTCACATTTAATTTTTAGTTGTGAAAACTATTCATCAACCAGCGTTTCTGAGCATCCCCTCTGTTCCGAACACTGAGAAAAGAGTAACACACAGTGAACCCACTATAGCTTTTTGGATGCAGTTGTTTTTAAGGAAGTAGAAACCAGGTGAGGCCTGTGCACTCTGATCTGAGAGACCAAACAGATGCCTCTTTATCAACTAAGATGGACCCTAATGTCAGAGGCGTCTGAACCAGAGCGACTCCATCTTGAATAAGGGATGGGAAAAAAAAGGCTGAGATCTGCTGGGCCGCATCCCCAGGAGGTCAGGCATTCTTAGTCTCAGGATGAGATAGGAGGTCGGCAGGGCTGGTATCACAAGACACAGGTCAGAAAGACCCTGCTGATAAAACAGGATGCAGTAAAGAAACCGGCCACAATGCACCAAATCCAAGATGGCGATGAAAATAACCCCTGGCTACCCTCACTGCTCATTATATGCATTATTAGCATGCGAAAAGACACTCCCACCCGCGCCCTGGCAGTTTACAAATGCCATGGCAATGCCCGGAAGTTACCTTATATAGTCTAAAAGATGGAGGAACCCTTAGTTCTGGGAATTGCCCGCCCCTTTCCCAGAAAACTCATGAATAATAAAACCCTTGGTTAGCATATGATCAAGAAATACCTATAAGTATACTCAGTGAAGCAGCCCATGCTGCTGCTCTGCCTGTGGAGTAGCTATTCTTTCGTTTCTTTACTTCTCTGACAAACTGACTTTTGCTTTATTCTATGGATTCGCTCTGAATTCTTTCTTGCTTGAGGTCCAAGAACCTTCCTCTTGGGGTCTGGATCAGGACCCCTTTCTGATAACACTAAAGTTAAGGAAACAGTTATCTATGGGTTGTGAGGGTTCAGGGCCTAGCTGGCATGGCAAATTTCTAAATCCCTACAGCTACAAGATAAACCACTCTTGCTAAACTCCTCAGCGGTAGGAGCTACCAGGCCCCTCCTAACTGATTGACAACCCAGATCACTATGACTCAGATTGGACAGAGGACTGGCCTTACAAACATTCTTTTCTATAATGCATCTGCAGGCCTTAAGCCAGTTTCAGCAGCTTGCAGAGCCTGCACACAAACTTTTTGTGTCCTGTGGTTCACCTTTTGATCTAAAAAGCCAAATTCCACCTTTTTAATTTTTTTTTTTTTTTTTTTTTTTTTTGAGACGGAGTCTCGCTCTGTACCCCAGGCTGGAGTGCAGTGGCGTGATCTTGGCTCACTGCAAGCTCTGCCTCCCGGGTTCACGCCATTCTTCTGCCTCAGCCTCCCGAGTAGCTGGGACTACAGGCCCTGCCAACACGCCCAGCTAATTTGTTGTATTTTTAGTAGACATGGGGTTTCACCGTGTTAGCCAGGATGCTCCCAATCTCCTGACCTTGTGATCTGCCCGTCTCAGCCTCCCAAAGTGCTGGGATTACAGGAGTGAGCCACTGTGCCCAGCCCTTAAATTTTTTTTTTGAGATGGAGTCTCCCTCTGTTGCCCAGGCTGGAGTGCAGTGGCATAATCTTGGCTCACTGCAACTTCCACCTCCCAGGTTCCAGTGATTCTCCTGCCTCAGCTTCCCAAGTAGCTGGGATCACAGGTGCACACCACCATGTCCAGCTAATTTTTGTATTTTTAGTAGAGACAGGCTTTCACCATTTTGGCCAGGCTGGTCTCAAACTCCTGACCTCAAGTGGTCCGCCTGCCTTGGCCTCCCAAAGTGCTGGGATTACAGGCATGAGCCACCATGCCTAGGCAAATTCCACCTCATTTTAATGCTAAGTCCCCACACCAAAGTGAACATGAGATGCATGTTACATATATGTTCATCCGTGCTAGGTGCTAGGTTTCCCTCACAGCTATGTATAGCTTTTCCCCCAAACCTGTTGAATATGGATGACTCTACTGTGTAACGTGGACTCTGTGAGGCATAAAACCCAACCTGCCCTTTCTCTCATCAAAGAGAGGGCACCTTCATTTCACACCACAGACTTTCTTTTCCGGGTTTGCAAACTGATATCACCAATAAACCTCTCCTTTCTACCATTTTGCCATCCTGGTGGTCTTCTGGACAACTGTACAAATCATGGGGAAATCTTTTTTGAGACGGAGTCTCGCTCTGTCTCCCAGGCTGGTGCAATCTCGGCTCACTGCAAGCTCCGCCTCCCAGGTTCACGCCATTCTCCGGCCTCAGCCTCCTAAGTAGCTGGGACTAGAGGCGCTCGCCACCACACCTGGCTAATTTTTTGTATTTTTAGTAGAGACGGGATTTCACCATGTTAGCCAGGATGGTCTCGATCTCCTGACCTCGAATCACGGGGAAATCTAATGTGCTGTTATGGAAACTGCGGGGAGAACAAAATTGATTCGACATTCTCTGCAGAAGCCCCTCCGATTTGCAGATGACTGTCCTCTTACCTTTCCAAAACTCCCCTTCCCCAGCACCATGAGGAAATTGAAGTCGGTGAGTTTCACTCGGTCCAGGTTGTTGGAAGGCTGTTTCCTGTCTTCAGAGGGACTGATGACTTTGTTGCCAGCAGGGCCAAGCTTGGCTTTCTAAATAACAAGCACAAATGGGAAACGTGTGGGTCGTTTTTCTGGGGAAAGAGTGACAGAAACCACCGCGTTGTAACTGAGTTTGATGTTTGCTTGGAGGTAGGATGGGGTGAGAAAAGGAACTAAGGGTGAGGATCGAGTATCTATTCAGATATCAGTGGCTACACTCACCCTACGGGGAAAGTCTGCAAAGTAGCAGGAAACTGCTCTCCCTATCAAGAGACAACTCTTTACATAGCCTAGAACTGATGCGTGGGGATCCGTGTAGGGCTGGTTGGTTGTAATTCTAGTATGTAAAAGTTGACTTCTTGGGAAAAACAGTGCTTCGGGTCCATTAACATAATAAAGGAAATAAACTGTGTACGCATGCTTTTCGTATTTGTAGATTTTCCAATTTAAAATTAATCTGCATAAAGGAAAACTTGTACCCACACCAAAAGGGAGGAAAATGTTCTCTGGAGAGGAACTGCTTAAAATGGCAAAGCCATTTGGATGATTCATTGCTATTTTCAAATGCACAGTAAGAACAGGGGTTGGGTTTTTTTTTTTTTTCCTTTAAATCAAGAGTTGAACTCACAAAAAGACATGGTGATGTGCATAAGAAGAGATCCCAGCACTTTGGGAGGCCAAGGCAGGTGGATCACCTGAGGTCTGGGGTTTGAGACCAGCTTGGCCAACATGGTGAAACCCCATCTCTACCAAAAATACAAAAATCAGCTGGGCATGGTAGTGCGTGCCTGTAATCCCAGCTACTTGGGAGGCTGAGGCAGGAGAACTGCTTGAACCAGGCGAGTGGAAGTTGCACTGAGCTGAGATTGCACCATTGCACTCCAGTCTGGGAGACACAGCGAGACTCTGTCTCAAAAAAAAATAAAAATAAAAATAAGCGCAAGGCACCCTTTGTGCCTGAAGAATATCTGCTCACTGCCTGGCGGGCGAGCTACCAAAGGAGTTTTTAGAAGCTCTAGCGGGAGCCTTGCCCTCACGACTCTCAGCAGCGCCTCAGAGTCCATGTCAAAGGCAAAAGGTAAAAGGGCTCAGCAGAAAAAAGAAGGTAAGTAAACCCACGGGAAGTCTCACTGTCGCCGAAGGAGCCCTGGAGAAGCCTGGAGTGGGCCGAGTCTCCCAGCACAAGACTCTGAATTTTGAACATCTGCCTGACAGGGAGGAGCTGGTTGTAAGAAGCCTTGGCTGCTGGCAGGTTCAGGACCCTGGCCCCTGGCTAGACCTCCACAGCCATATCCCTGAGACCTAGGGCAATGATTCTTGCCTTGGATACAATTTTTTTTTTTTTTTTTTTTTTGACACAGAGCTGTGCTCTTGTTGCCCAGACTGGAGCGCAGTGCAGTGGCATGATCTCGGCTCACTGCAACCTCCGCCTCCCAGGTTCAAGCGATTCTCCTGCCTCGGCCTCTTGAGTAGCTGGGATTCGCCAACACGCCTGGCTAATTTTTTTATATTTTTAGTAGAGACGGGGTTTCGCCATGTTGGGCAGCCTGGTCTCGAACTCCCAACCTCAGGTGATGTGCCCACCTCGGCCTCCCAAAGTGTTGGGATTACAGGTGTGAGCCACCACGTCCAGCCCATTCTTAATGGAAGGGTGCACCTCCCTCCCTAGTGCAGCGGACCTGAGCTCTGGAGCTCTTGCCAGGAACTCACTCAAGTCAACACCTTGGTGGTTACCAAGATGATGGTGAAGGAGGTAAGGAAGGCACTCAAGGGGCTTTACTATGGACCAGCAGCAGAGAAGGCTTCCGAGAAGTCATCCATCGTCCCTCCTGGAGCATCACCATTCCTTCATCCTACACATACTGATTGAGCCCCCTTGTGCTCTCCTGGGGAGCCTCTGCATTTGCCGGAGGAGACCCTGCTGACACAGGAATTCAGCAGGACTGGTTTCACAAGATACAGGTCACAAAGAACCCCTAACAGAACAGTATGTGGTGAAGAAGCCACTCAAAACCCGCCAAAACCAACAAGGCAATGAAAGCAACGTCAGGTCTCCTGGCTGCTCGGCATATGCTAATTATAACACATTGGCATGCTGTAGGAAATGCCCGCCGGCACCAAGACAGTTTACAAATGTCATGGCAACGTGTGGAAGTTACCCTACATGGTGTGAAAGGGGAATCCTCAGTTCCAGGAATTCCCTGCCCCTTTCCCAGAAAACTCATGAATAATCCACCCCTCATTTAGCATTTGATCAAGAAATAACCACGAAAATAGCCAACCAGCAGCCTTCAGGGCTGGTCTTCCTATGGAGCAGCCACCCTGTTACTCCTCTGCTTTCACTTTACTCTGTAGGCTTGCTCTTGAATTCCCTCCTGCCCAAAGCCAAGAACCTATGTGGCCTCTTAGGCTGAACCCAAATTTTGGGGTTCATCCTGTGACTGCCAGCTGTGTCTAGATTCTCAACCCTAACAATATTTGGCATAGGACATGCACTCAGCTCTCTGGTTGAACAAATACAGAACTGAAGCCTAAATATGCTTATCAGATGCTGTGCTGTTGGGTGATGCTTTTCTCTGATAAGAATAACTTGCTCGTGGCCAGGCACGGTGGCTCACGCCTGTAATCCCAGCACTTTGGGAGGCCGAGGAGGGTGGATCACGAGGTCAGGAGTTCAAGACCAGCTTGGCCAACATGGTGAAACCCCATCTCTACTAAAAAAACACAAAACTTAGCTGGGCATGGTGGCACATGCCTGTAATCCCAGCTACTCGGGAGGCTGAAGCAGGAGAATTGCTTGAATCAGGACCTGGGAGGCAGAGGTAGCAGTGGGCGAGATTGTGCCACTGCACTCCAGCCTGGGCTACAGAGCAAGACTCAGTCTCAAAAAAAAAAAAAAGAGGCCAGGCGCGGTGGCTCAAGCCTGTAATCCCAGCACTTTGGGAGGCTGAGACGGGTGGATCACGAGGTCAGGAGATCGAGACCATCCTGGCTAACACGGTGAAACCCCGTCTCTACTAAAAAAAAAAAAAAAACTAGCCGGGCAAGGTGGTGGGCGCCTGTAGTCCCAGCTACTCGGGAGGCTGAGGCAGGAGAATGGCGTGAACCCGGGAGGCGGAGCTTGCAGTGAGCTGAGATCCGGCCACTGCACTCCAGCCTGGGCAACAAAGCGAGACTCCATTTCAAAAAAAAAAAAAAAAAAGAAGAGTAACTCGCTTGTTCAGGGATCAAGTCTCAGGGGCTTGCATACATGCTTTGATGAGTTGAGTGCCCCCATTTGACCAGACTAGAGACATTAAAACACGAGGGAGAGATGGCCCTGACATTTTTGCTTCCAGACACCTGTGACTTTGGGGCCACTGGAAACATAGAAGGCCCATAAAGATAAAACATGAATTGCGATGCTACACACACTGGCCTGCCTACTTTGGCGGGGGCAACCCAGTCCTCTAAACACTGGCCCCAGCAATGATTCTAAGTTGAGAAACTTTCTCGGCTGTGTCCTAATTTAATTTTTTATTTTTAATTTTTTGAGACGGAGTTTCGCTTTTGTTGCCCAGGCTGGAGTGCAGTGGCGCGACCTCGGCTCACTGCAACCTCTGCCTCCTGGGTTCAAGTGATTCTCCTGCCTCAGCCTCCTGAGTAGCTGGGATTACGGGCGCGCACCACCAAGCCAAGCTAATTTTTTTGTATTTTTAGTAGAGATGGGGTTTCACTGTGTTGGCCAGGCTGGTTTCGAACTCCTGATCCATCTTGCCTTGGCCTCCCAAAGTGTTGGTATTACAGGTGCGAGCCACTGCACCTGACTGGCTGTGTCTAAATTTAAAAGAATAGACAGGAAGTGCAGATTTGAGATGAGAATACCGATTGTGCCACCCTGCTCTGCTCTTCTGACTTAGAATAAGAAAAAAGTTATCAGAAAGAGGCACAGATTAATTGTATTTTCTCAGGATTCACAATAACATCTGAAAACACCCGAACACCGACTTGCTGATCTGAGGTGCTTGAAACAGGGGAAAACCACTTTCACTTGGGTGAAGCTGCTATTCATACTACCAACAAATGCCCCGCTTCCAACTGTAGCACGTGGTTCTACCCAGCTATGCTGGACTCCTTTGACATTCCCAGTCATTCCTCCTTCCTCCTTTGACACTTCACCACCACAGTCAGGGGATATGGGCTGATGCAGTGATGAGCCTCCAGATACGCAGGGGGGATTTCTACACACATTGCCATCTACCGCCTCGACGCAGACATAACCTAACGACGGCCTTGTGAGTTTCATGTTATGATCTCAGTCTGGTTATAAGCATGAGACATTGCCCACAGTCAGGCTAAAGGCTGAGAAAAACATTTTTACATTCAATTACTTCTGAACTTATTTGCAATATGACCTTGGCTTCGGGTCTCAAATCAATCACCAGGTTTGAGAGGAGCATCCACAAAGGAGACACCTGCTCCCACAAGGTGGAGCTGGGCAGAGGATGCCACAGGCTTCCTGCTCTGCCTGGGCAGATTCTTTTCAGCTGGAAGCAGAGCTGAGTTTCTGGAGGTTGGTAGAGCAGGCAGCTGGTTGGGAAGGAGACAGACGGGGTGTGGGGTCCAGGGCAGGCTGACCACATCCATATCAGAGAGTTGGCTTCTCAATGGCCTGGTCCGGAGGGTCAGAATGGATTTCTCCCCAGTCCAAGCCAGCCCTGAGATCAGAGCAGACCCAGCATCTTCACACCCTTGCTCCCATCAAGAGCAGCACTGTTTCTAGTACAGAACACACTTCCTGAGCCATCTCCACGCTGCCACCTGCAGGCCTTGCTGCCAAAGGACACAGAGTCATCCAATGCTGACTTTTTGAAAGCAGTTCTTTTACGGTAGGAAACTGCACGGTATGGCAACCTCAGCAGTCTGGGCCTGGCTTTGAGCAAGTCCCACTTACAATCTGGGTCTAATCAATACTGGGGTTGAGGGAGACAGCCAGTGGATATCCAAGCGGCTATGTCACTGGGGGCGGGGGATGCCTGAGGGCAGGGGGACAAGGAACCATATAGGACTTC